AAAAAAAAATAAGAACCAAGAGACTCATGTAATGGTACAAGATCCCAATGATGAATGTAACTGTATTTTATACCTAAAATGTACCAATAAAGTTAATGGGGGGGGAACATTCAATAGGGCCACATCTATGGTGATAGCAAACTGCCCTAATAGCTCAGGGATAAGGTCAAAATAAGGTCAAGGTCACAACAAAACTACCTCAAAGGCATTTTGAAGAGACTCGGTATACACTCGTGTCTAATGTGTCTAATCAAAGTAATCAAGATCAGCATGAATGATACAATACTTAGTGAGCAGAAAAAAGCGAAATGTAAAAAAAAAATTTTCAGGGTTTATTCAGGAGTAAGTCATAGTTAAGAAGTAGTTCAACAGAAGGCACAGTTCTGTCTGAACACTGGAGAAACTGACTCTATTGCAAAGATAATTTTTCCCCAAATTAATTCCCCATGCTCTTACTGCGCATTCATCAAGCAACAGTTTTCAATTCATTTGGTTGGCCAAGCACACTAACTCAAGAAAAAGGTACGTATTTAAAAGCATAACAATCTATTATAACTCAATAAACTTTTTTCCAGTGTATAAGACAATTCTTATAAAACTGATTAGCAGGGCCCGGGAATTAGTTCAGTGGTTCTACCGCCTGCCTTGCAAGGCAAGGTCCCCAGTTCGATCCCGGTACCAAAAAAAAAAAAACTGATTAGCAAGAATCAATTCCCAGAATCTCATTCAATCTAAGGTCATAGATGTCATTAAGTTTTTAGAATTACTAAGCCAGGTACCAGATCCCGGGAACCTAGTAGGATTCTGCCGGGCAGCCTAAAAGCCCTAACCCAGCAGCCATCTGGTCTTGCTGGAATTTTTCAATGTCAGAAATTGAAACATTTCAGGATGTTTCAATAAACTATACAGAGATTTCTGATTATTAAGTTTGAATACATTGACTTGCAGATTAGAAAAGTTTTAAATTTTTTCATCCATAAAACAAATGCTTTTTCTGAAACCTAGTTATGATTTCTCATTTTCCCAACTAGAAAATATTTTTTAGCCAGGCCTGGTGGTACATGCCTATTGTCTCAAAAAAAAACAAAGCAAAAAATTTGAAATTACTTGCTAACTAGCTACAGTATATTATTATTACTAAAGGCAAACTGATTATTAACAGGTAGAGAGTAGGTTTATTATTTTCTATTCAAGGCATAGGCTAGTTAAAAAGCCTGACAATTTTCACTTCTTGCTCATCCAACTCTTCCCAAGGAACAAACTTCACAACCTATAATTTATTTCCAACTTCTATGCCTAGTGACATAGGAATCATATGGCAGGAAATAAACATGACATTAAAAGTGGAGACTCTGTTTTATGGTAATCAAATATTTAATAGTCAAGATTCATTAAATACTATAAATGAGGATAGCTCCACAAAGTAAAATTCAACAAAAAAGTTAAATTTGTTATTCTCACTCTGAAAATAACTATGTACAGCCTTTTCCCATGAGTATCTCTACACTAAGGGCATGCAAATGAACTACTTCTGGGAAACCACCCATGTTAATTATTAAATTGAAGAAAGAAGGTGGAGTCTGGCTAAAGCCTAAAACTTAATTAAGAAATTTTTTTCTGGTCCACAAGAGAACACTTCTCTCAGTGGTACTGGTTTGGTCATTCTGAGAGATTTCTATACCATAAGGTCACACACACACTTGAAGAGGCAGAAGAGGATGACCATGTTAACACCCTCTTTTTACACTAATATCAGGTTTAAGGATCTGTCTCATACACTGAACCTTAACATATCAAATAGAAACATTTATCTCCCAAATATCTATTGTATTTGGGAGTAATCTGTCTTAGAGCAAAGGCTAAGAATGGAAGGACTACTTCAAGAAATATGTTGTTAGTTCATGCTCTTTAATGAAATCCATAATAATATAACCCACAACTATTTAGCTTTTCAGTTTAAATAAATTAGGTAAACAGAGGGAAGAAACTATAGTCACAGGAGGACTACAGACAGAACAGTTAGGATTTGACCTTTAGGTATTCCATACTTCCTAACCTACACTGAACATCATCTGCCTGATAGCAGCCTCGGGGCATGAATCCAAAAGTCTGCTCCTAGAGTTGGTCCCTTTACTGTAGTCTTCTCAACAGAACTTTACAAGAAAGAAATCTTAGATGCTCTTAATTGGGCTAAAATCTGGGCTGCGGTTTTGAAAATGTAAAAAAGAATGTTACCATAACTAATACTGTGAAATAAAAATAAACTAAATATTTAATATTTATGTAGAATTTTATCTACCGGTGTGGGGTTATCAGTCTTACCTGAACCAATTCTCTGTATGCAGACTTAGCAAGGTTATAAGGTACTAAAAGATTAGAACCAAGAAAATAGAGAACTTCCAATCCAGTAAAAATCATGGCAAATTTGTTGATGATAACGATAGTTTCCAGAGGAACAAGGCAGAGTCGTGCTAGCAGAGGAAGCATGTGAGCTGAAAAAAGCCAAATCTGCTTGGTTTTCATGACACACGAGCATAAAGTACATACCACCAACTGACCTAAAATGAGGAAAAGAATTCATTTAATTTTGAGCATTTGGTAACCACAAACATAAAAAAAAATACCGTTGATAAGGATGATAAAACAGCCACTGAAGGTTTCTTAGATGTTTTACATCAAATTTTAATTTCATCTGACCATAGTTACATATTCACATCTACTGTGAATTCTGAATACCAATTTCCCAGGGCCAATGTGAAAAATACAGCCTAAATCTCCACTAGTCTTCATCGTATTTCTGATGGGATATATAACATGAAGAAACCTTTTTCTAAAAATGTCTAACTGAATTTTACAGTAATTCAGTTACTGCAGTTAATACAGAGCTCCTTTTCAAAAGGTACTCAACATTTAGCTGTTCTGGACAATAGGCAGAAGCATAAAATCAAAGTGATGCAATTACTTGTCCAAGATCACAATATAACAAGATGAATTATCCTGAGGATTTTTGGATCTTTATTTTTTACAATACTATGTAAGCCTCTTAATAACTTACTTAGTCATTAAAGTTAAAACTATGAAGTTTAAACAAATTCATCTCATAGAGAATTATACAAAATAACTATAGAAAATTGGAAACACAGAGAAGAAAAGAAAATCCCCAATCTTCTAAAATCTACCACTCAACCACTGGAAATCAGTGTGGAAATTCCTCAAAAAACCAAACGAGAGAGGTTCCATTCAACCCAGCTATTCCCCTTCTTGGTATATTCCCAAAAGAATTAAAAGCATCATATCACAGTGATATATGCATACTGTTTACAGTGGCACAGTTTGTAGCTGAATCTTGGCAACAGCCCCAATGTCCATCAACAGATGAACGGATAAAGAAGATGTGGTATGGAGTACTACTCTGCCATAAAGAAGGATAAGCTTGTCACCTGCCCCATCAGCATAAGGTCCTGAGTTTGATCCCTAGTACCAAAAAGGATAAGCTTGAGACATTTCCAGTAAATAGATGCACCTTGAGACCATACTCTTAAAAGTGAGATAAATGGGACACACATGTTTAAATACCACATTGTTTTTCTGGTGTGAGAAACTGAAACTAGAAATAAGGACCAAAATATATAATAGATACTAGGAAATGGGAAGAAAATGTTCAAATGAGAAGGGGAACAAGGGATGGGGGGGAGGGGGAAAGGAAAGAAAGGATAAGAAAATAAAGAATAGAAGGAAGCTTTCCTAAATAAGGAGGGAAAGAGGAGCCGAAGGGAAGAAGGGGGAATGGGAAAAAAGAAGAAAGCTATATCATGTACAGATACAAATTCTGTATGATGAAATGTTATCAGTAAGTATATCTAAAATGTACTAATAAATGTTTTGCTTCAAAAACAATTTTTAAATAAAACAAAATGCCACCATTCAAACAGCCCTATGCATACAGTACCCATTAAATGAAGTATTAAATATAAAGCCGTAACACTGTATCTGAAACCTGGGAAGTGCTCAACAGTTACACTACTTACTACCGTTTCAGATGTAGTCTATCCATATGATTACATAGAAATGTTTACTTTGTACTCTAAAATTTTCAATACAGTGTATTTGGGTTTAGGTAGGAACTTTCTATTATTTTCTAATGATCTACTCTGATGATAAAGGCATCTTGCTCCATTTCTCTGACTACTGCTTTGTATGGAATTTCCTGGATATTCCTAAACATGTTATCTTCCAGACTAAGAATCATTTAGTCAAATGCTCTTCCTCCTTACCAGTGAAAAGCAAAACAAAATTTGGGGGTTTCTGATGGTGTCCTATTCATTCAATTGTTAGAATACAACACTGGCAACCATTTACACATACTAAACATTTAAAACAATCTACTATACTATAAAATGTATGGTATTTTCTCCCAGAAAGCATTATTTTTGCCTTTAAAGAAATAATATTTAAAGAATGTGAATACTCATCAGTGTATAGGAAAAAGAAAAACTCCTAAAAGTAAAGAAAATAAGAAAAGAGGCCACCAAAAGAGACTGTTCAACATATTTTGGAAGACAGAAAACAAAAGACAGGAAGCTCTCACTGGAGGTTTTAACCCACTCTTACTCTTCACCATACTGAGAAGTCTGTCCTCTAAAGATGGTGAAACTGAGGCTGGCAGAGGTGAGGTGCCCAACTGAAAATAGGAGAGGAAGATGTATCTCCAAAGCTGGGCTCTCCCAGTTCCCAAAGCACTACTGTTAAGTTTATCACTTAGTTCTCAGCAGTTCTCTAGCCACTGCCACCATCCTGCCTTCAGATTTTTTTCCGAAGCTGACCATTCAAGTCAAAAGATTTATAAAGACTAATATTTTGGGGTAACCCCCCAAAAAAGCCAGTCTTAACTGATTAGCCGTGGTTGCAACACAGGTTGGTAAACCCTAAAGAGATTCCAATAACAAGTTAGTAGCTCCCTTAATACAAATGATTAATCAACAACTCCTAGGCATTTAATAAAACTTATGATTTAATCAATCTCAGATATAGCCTAGGCATGGGTATTTATTTTTAAATATATTAAGGTGATTCTAAGTCAGGCTTCAGAAACACTGCTCTCTCATGAAATACAAATACCAAAACGAAGAAATAGGAAAAGGTCTGAAGACAGGGAGAGAATGCAAGTAGCAAAAGAAAGTTTCAAAAAGATAATATTTATGAAAACAAAGACTGCCATAATAAAAGAGGCATTCAATGAAAACAAGCTGTATGATATAAAAAAAATTAAAATGCACCAAAAGGGTTGAAAGATAAAAGGAGAATTCTCAGAAACTGAAAAATACACTCCCTTTAAAGAAAAACAAAAATGACAGGAACAGCTCTAAAATAAGAAAAATACAACATATCAACAGTAAGAAAATTAGGGCCTCAACGTAGATCAAAATTCAATTAACATGATTTCTAGAAAAGAACAAAAAAACAGCAGGGAAGAAATCATGAGCTGGAGGAAGAGAATTCTAATGAGTGATACCAGGAAGTGTGGATGGGTGATGCAGGAGACGGGATTTCCATCACAGAATTACAGTAGTTTTTAATGACAAAAATAAGCCTATTTCTTTGATTAAAAAATTTAAAAACTGAAACTAAAAAAAAGGAATCAAAGGAAACGCTTTAGTATTGGAATTATTAGAAATTTTAATTCTGGCACATCTTTCTTTCTTGTACTCAGAGATAAACATGAATTTCCTTACATGCTATGATGTAAACTTCCCCAACCCTGAAACTCCCATCAGCCTATGCCAGCATATGCAGTGTTCGCCTGTGGCAGCATCAGCTTCCTTATCTTCTTTCATAGAAGAACATGACTCATACAACATGTTCATCTTGAGAGAAGACCATTCGTGTTGTTTAGGTGAAAGAAGGAAGGAGTCATATTGTGAGTAGAATCTCCTTTATCATTCCAAAAGAGTTTTTTCCTGTGCCTGTTCCAACTAGTAATTCTGAGTAAATAAAAATCACAATGTACTCTTTGGATTTCAGAGTTCTACTATTAAAAATAGCTCCAGAAAAATCTACAATACTAAGAAATCATGGAATATTCAAATGCTTTTCCGTTAAAAGTTTATTATTAAAGTGGAAGAAAAAGAATAGGAAGTTACTTTAAATAAAAGTCAGAAGAAAAGTGTCATTGAACAGTTCACGAATATTATTTAATTTTCTTATTAACTGAAATCTTAGTAGAGTATTGGGTGATGATAAGCCACTGACAGAAGAATGTAAGGAAAAATCTCTCAGGCTTGTATTAAGGTGCATCCACAATAAAATCTTGTAAGCATTCTAACCTTATAAGTATGTCTGTCCATAAGGGTTCGTTACCATTACTGTAAATACCAACTCATAGGATACAGTCATAAAGTAACTAACATTTTGTCTCCTGCTGATTTAACATCTATTTTGTGGAGATTAGTCGTTCTTCTGGCCCCAGATGAAACCTAAAACAAGCCTCCTAACTTCTAGTCTAGTTTAAGTTTCACAGTCTCCATTTAATAATAATCCAAACTGCAAAACTGATTTAAAGTTGAGACATCTCTCTTACTGGACCTTGGGCTCCCCTCCTATAGCACTACAGAGGAAAACTGCAATTTGGACAAGAGGTGGAGTGGCTGTGGTTAGCTTCTTCTTTTTAACCCAGCACATCTTTCTCTCAGCCCTGATTCACCCAGGAATGGAGCAGGCAGGGGACAAGGAGGAGAAGGCATAGCAAAGTTCCTAGTTTGGCTGTTCTCATAATGATATGATGCTGGTGCTCTCTGGACTTGAAATACTTAAAACTGATTCATGTCCTTTCTCCTAGGCACTTTTATGGGTTCCTCTGAGACTCCTGCCATCACCGTGTATCTCTCCCCTGCAGCATACTTGGTGCTTGGTATGTACCACCCATTGGCTATTTTTGACTCTATCTTCAGTTCCTGGGAATCTGGAAGTTCAAATGCTGTTTGGATCTCCTCATCCTTCAAAGGGCCCTTCTGAATGGGACCTAAGAGTGCTCGCTTCAGCAGCACACACACTGAATGGGACCTAAGAAAATCCTAGATTCCTGTGACCTTTATATTCAGGAAACTCATCCTTTCCCTCCACAAATCAGAAGATGGAGGAAAACCCTACAAGGCATTTTCACTTCACAGTCAAAAAACTCTATAGGCAACCAGCCTGTTACCAGCCTTTTACATCAAATTAGAAATGAGTCATATTATAACATAAAATGATAGCAGCCTCATTCCAAAGAGTAAAAAGAAACAAGTGAAATTAATACGCTTGAATATATCCCAAATATTTTCATATGCAGTATAGTCAATCTATAGTAAAAATTGAAAAACTTTTTGTGTTAAGTAGAAATTGAGTGTATATGCATAGCACATCTTTATTTGTAACAGCCATATTTCAAGGGCTCAAGAGCCACTTGTGGTGGGATTTGGGCAGTGCACCTCTATATTTTTTAGGCCTAAGTTAGTGCACAGTATCCTCCCAAGCCACAGAAGCTGGGGAAGTAGTTCAGAATACAGGGCCAGGGCAGGGGGAAGATTTAGCTCAGTAGTTTCGCCGCCTGCTGTGCAAGCGCAAGGACCCGAGTTTGATCCCTGGTACCAAAAAACAAACAAACAAAAAACAGAATACAGGGCCATTTCTCAAGAAATCTTCCTTTAGGGCCAGGGATTTAGCTCAGTGGTTCCGCCGCCTGCCTTGCTGAGTTCCGCCTTCCTGAGTTCGATCCCCAGTACCACAAAAAAAAAAAGAAATCTTCCTTTAATCTCAAATATTAAACTTTTTACTATCTTTTACATAAGTTAAAGAATCACAAAATGGGTTTCTCTCATTTCCTTTTTTGGAATTCTGTCATGGTAAGGGTCTGATAGCTCACTTCAGATTTTATCTGTATTGATTTTAGGCCTCAGTCAACATTTCTATTTTTAACACTCTGCTATCTGAATGTTTCAATAATATCTCAAGGCTTGATGTTTATGGCTATTTTTTTTGACAGCAGGGTGATGACTTTCAACAACAATAATCAACTTTAAAATATTATATATTGTGTTTTAATATTTCAAAGTAGTAATTAGCTCTGGTTAAAAATTAATCTTCCCAAATACTTATACTTTATAAAATATAAAGTATAAAATATACTTTAAAAAACATCAGCAACTATGGGCCATGTATATAATTATAAATACAAAAACTAAACATCTACGCACATGGGAAAAAAGACTAAATAAATGTAACATTAAACAATAGCTGTATTTGTAAAGAGAGGGCATAATAACTGAATTTTTATTTAAGTGAATATATACGAATTTTTTAATAAAGTATTAAGAATGGATGGTTCCAACCCATACTTTTAATTCTTTTAACAGTACATACCTATTAAGGCTGTGGTAAACCGATTCATGGAAAGAGGTTCCAAATACATTGGTCCTTCATAGGCAGACTCCAGTTCACTCCTAACATAGTCCCTAAAAAAGAAAAATGCTAAGAATGTACTGGATAGAATAAAGAAGGAGTTCAATCACACCATTCTCATAAAACACGTTAGTAGCTTTTCTTTCTACATCTAAGGAAACATTTATAAAGAATTACATAAGTACAGCCTTCATCTTTGTCTTCCATACCCTGGAAAGATACAATTTATTGAAACTTAATTTTACAATGCAGAGAAGGTTGCCATAGCTCCACTTTGTGGGATTTTCTTTTTTTCCATGGCCTTATTCATTATTTTATACCTAGAAAAGAGCCAGTTGAGACCTCATTTCTCAACTCTACTAATTACCTGAAACTAATAATACATTAAACCTTTCCCTCTTTTAGCTTGCTTAACTATCACCTTATTGTCCCCAAAGTTTGTTCCCAATTATGTTTTATTTGGTATAGACAAAACTACAATCTAATGACAATCCTTAAATATTGTTACTTTAAAATCTATAGGTAATCTATGATGAGAATTATAATACTCAAATAGGCTAAATATTTATTTTGAAACAAATATTAAATCACAAAATATTTCTTTTTAAATTTAGTTCATTTAACATGTTAATACTAAAAAATAAAAGGCTTTAAAAGTAGTAATTTAAGAGCCTTTTAAACTGAGAAAATAGCCGGGGATTTAGCTCAGTGGTTTCGCTGCCTGCTGTGCAAGCACAAGGACCCGAGTTCGATCCTGAGTTGGATCCTTGGTACCAAAAAAATAAAATAAATAAATAAATAAAATAAACTGAGAAAATATACACAGGAATCACAAAAGGAAAATGTTATTATAAGTAATTTAAGTGGTATTACTGGAAGATACTTGTCTTAAGTCCTTTTTGAATCAAAGAGAAATGTGTTAAAGAAAATCCTCTTCAACTGTTGAATGCTTTATTCATTGCACTTTAAAATAATTTGAATGTTTCAAGTATTTCTGAACTCAAATTGTGTATTTAGTTTTTTCCCCGTGAAATTACTTCCTGTTAGGCAATCAAGTTGAATTCCTTTAGCTTAGCATAGCATAGCAAAACAAAGAATGACCCTTACATAATCAAGGAGCAAAGTACTGCCAATTCTAATTTTAAAACTAAAATTTTTTTTTTGAAGAATATGAACAGTTTAAGGGATGACCAATTAATTTCATAGCTAATCTAGCAATTCCATCACTCTCTAATAACAGCTTTTAATACAAAATGTTTTCATATTCTCTCTCTCATGCAAGAGAAAGCCAGATTCTAAGGAGTGTTTACCAAAAAGGGGCAAGTGCGCTCACGAGAGGGCATTCTGCATTATCTAGTAACAGTTCTGGTTGCCAGAACTGAAGACGGAAGGGTGCTATAAGCACTCAGTAGGTGGTAAAAGCCACGGATGCCATCTCATGTTCTACAATACATGGGATAGTCCCCCAAACAAAGAATTATCTGGTCTAAAATGTCAATCATGCCATGGCTGAGTAACCTGGTTTTAATGTGAAGAGATACAAATGCTGTATTTGCAAATAACACATAAATTCTGATCATTATGGGTAACCACCAAGGTAATTACATTTCATACAGTTCTAAAATAAAATGCTAAATAATTAAGAGAATTATGAAGTTCAAAATATAAATGTAAATAGTGATAATACTTACAAAGTTTTGAAATGCTATTAAAGAAATAAATGTATATTTAAAAGAGACAAAACTGAGTCTCAATACTACCTAAGACTCTAAAGCCCAGTAAGTTCTTTGTGGACATAAAATATCCTGAGGTCTAGCTGAAATGGTGACCAGGCAAAACCTACCATTCAGCAGACTGGAGGCTGACAGGGGTTACGGGCAGGAAAAATAGAGGTAACTCCTTAAGGGGTACTGGGTTTTATTTTAGGGTAATTAAAATGTTTTGGAATTAAGTAAAGGTGAGGTAGTCATGAAAGTACTATGTACTATTTTACAATGGTTAATTTTATATTGTGTAAATTTTACCCCAATTAGAAAGGTGCATCAGAAGAGCACTGACCCTGAGGGGAAAGCCAAAAGGTGCCCCAGGAGGGCCTCGGTCCCAGCAGCTCTCTTACTAAGGGCTAAAGGAGACTAGAGTGCGTTCCCTGTCACGTTTGCTCTCCCGTTTGATTTTGTCATATTACTGATGCTTTACAACATAACTCAGCAAACTCAACATTACAGAATTGCTTAGTGGGGAGAATTTCATTATTTTGTATTATTTCATAGCTTTAGTTGATCTACTTTTTAAAAACTTCTTGTCTTTTTTTAGAGTTTCTTACCTTAAATTCTAGAACAAAACTAACAAAACTTCTAAGGACAATTAACATGCCCTGTACTTTTTTTTAACTCCAAGAAATTACTGTGTATGGAGTATGTTGCTAGCACTCTGCTAGGCCCTGTTGGTATCACTGTAGCTAAGACACAGATGCTGCTATGGTAAAGCTTACAAATTAGGACCAATACTTAATTTTATAACTAAGGACGACTATGAGAAGTGCTGTGATGATTACAAAGTTATTTAAAATTTACTTTTAAGTTCATAGTCCTAATTAAAAACTTTACCTTTTATTTTCTTCTAGGTTATTTTCATTTAGATAGTTCTCTTTTACTTCATCTTAAGTATCACTTATTCTACTTCCTATTCTATAAGATTATAAAAGGTTGTAATGTACCTCTTTTCTTTTATTAAACCCTATTTTCCATTCCTTTATTTTTTAAGACTTATTTTCCAATCCATTTCATCATTTTCTTTTTAGTTCTTTTTCACTTTTTGTATATTCATTACCTTGTGACTTGCTACAACTATAGGACGCTAAGGGAGGTCTACAACCCAGTATAATAAGTAATCAACCTTTAAGCCATAACCACAACAACCCTGATGTGAAGCAATTTCTTCCCACTACCTGCTACTTTGCCCTCCTCTGAGATCCTAGAGATGGTTCTCTCCCAATGCTCCAAATTTCACCATTCCAATCCAACTGATCCCATGTATCATTTAACCCACCCTACACATTAAATTTTCCCTAGATACCACCTAGACACTTGCCCTTTTCTTCAATTCCTCTTTCTCAAGTCAGTCCTTCAGAATCCCCCCCGTCTAACTAACCTATAACTCTCACATCAGTAAAGCCAGCCAGGCCCAGAGAGCCAGCAGACACCTCTTTTTGGGCCAGCTGAGCTGAGTGTGCCAGAGGGCAGTCTTACTTACTGGTGAGGGCAAAACTAACTAGTACGCCACACAGCCACTATGGAATTGTCCCTTCTAAAAGAAGATTCTAGAGACTGCATGCTATACTGTAGAGAAGAAGTGAAATTATGATCAGTGCAATAAGGATCTCCATGTCTAACTTACGTACAACTTCAGGGAATCTCATTCAGCAATGAAAACTTCTGGTTACTTAGTCCCAACAGGGAGGGTCACTCACAAGATTAAATAAATAAATAAAACAAAAAGCCTACAAGAAGGACCCAGAAGAGTTATTCAAAATTTTGTGAGTCACTTTAAGTCAACTATTAGTTCAAAGTAAAAGCCATGAAAATTCTAATTTTAACATTTTATAACATTTTAAGTATCAGGTGAGCTGTTCAAGAGGAACATAAATTTTCAATTTAGAAGATTTAAATTGTAAAACATATTAAGTTGATCAGAAGTGAGAATTCTTGCCATTCTATTTGTAACTGAATTAAAACCTTTTCCTTTTTTCATTTGTGCAATTTGTAGATTGCTAAGGATCAACCCTGAGCACTAATAAACCAGATACTTTGAAAATGTTCTCTAGTCCTCTGGGACTATGTCTTCTCTTTGAACTGGAACTGTGTGGGGGGAGTAAGTAATGTGTAGGATGTTATGAAAAAGGCCTCAGAGACAGCCTGTAATTAGAAAAGTTCTTGCTATAAGGAGGCATACAAGTTATAAAAATAACAACAAAACCTATGAGCTTACTACTCTAACTGACGAAAGACTTTTACATAATGGTTTCTTTAAGCTACCTGACTCAACCTCGGGACAAGCTAGGAACAATCTGTATATTCTGGCTACTTAAGCTTTCAAAAGTTATTCATTCCAAAGAAATCTAATCTTTCATACAAAACAAGTTGTCTTTTGCAATATGAGCAAACAAAAAGCACCCTTCTGGGTAAGAGATCCCAGAAACTAGAATGTTCAAATACCTGATGTAAGTATGTACTGTACATACACACCTACTACACCCTCAGCACAATCACAGCAATTGAACTACTCATCTGGTCAAGGTTATTTAAATTGTTTTGATACTCGGCTTCTCTTTCCAGGTTCTTTCTGGCTCCCTAGATATTTGATAAAGTTCCAAAGAAGAAAACACGAAACACAGGTCAATTTTATTCCTGTCAAAACTTAAAAGTTTAGTATATAAATGACAAAATTCATTTTAACAATTCCTTAAAGCAGTAGTTCTCAACTAAGGATAGTTTTGCTTCCCAAGACACAACATGGCAATGTCAAGGGACACTTTTTGGTTATCACAACTGCTAAAACTACTATCATGTAGTAGTTGAAGACTCAGGGCAGCCTCCACAACAAAGAACAAGCAAGTCCCAAATGCTAACAGGTTGGAGACAGAGCAACTCCTTATCTACAGCTCTGAATTATACAACTTTTCATCAAACACTGGTCAATTTAATTCCTGTCAAAATGAAAAGTCTCATTATAAATGATAAAACCCAGACTGGCTAAAGCTTTCTTAAATTAAAAAAAAAAAAAAAAAAGGAAGTTGGTTTTAAAGCTGCCTTATGAAATCTGAACACTTTTAACTAAAAATTTCAACCTTAACATCCATGTGGCATGTTCAAAATATTTATTAAATGTGACATGTCATGAATAACTCAAGGACAGCATTCCTGAGAAAAGTACCAAACAATGTAAATTACACCAAAGGAAAACACTAAAATATACCATATCCTGAAATTCATTCATTTAATACCAAAACAAACTACCCAAGAGTTTCAAAGAAGTAATTTAGGCTAGGCATGGTGGCACATGCCTGTAATCCCAGCACTTGGGAGGCTGAGGCAGGAGGATTGCCACAAATTCGAGGCCAACCTGGGCTACAGAGTGCATTCAAGGTCAATCAGAACTACAGTCTCAAAAGCAAAACAAAACACCAAAGTAACTTAATGAAGTAAAATACTGAAAAGTGAAACTCTCACTAATTTTCTTTCCACTGACTATGCTGCCTCCCTAAGAGAAGTAAACTAAGAAGAAAACCTGGATTCAAGTTAAAAGTCTGGGATTGTCCCCAGATGTCTGCCCACTTCAATTTTTCAAATTGTAAATTCCAAAGGATTACAATGATCAAAGTGAAATTTAAACAGGAAGTAGTTTTGCCCACATTATTAAAATTCTTTTTATTAACGTTTTAATTTTCTAACAATGAAAACAAATTTAAAAATTACAAAACATTCCCATAGACTAAAATTAAAAAGCTGAAAATTACCACAAAAAGAAAAGTCAGAAAAAGTCTACTTTCTTAGCCTCTGAAGCTATTCTGGGTCCCTTTTCCCTCCACATAACAGAATTCTAACCTCTCAAAAAGTGCATGAGTTGATAATACAATAGATAAAATTGGTTTCAGCCATTACTAAACCATTTGGATTAAAGGGGGGCGGGATTTAGCTCAGTGGTCTTGCCGCCTGCCTCGCAAGCACAAGGTCCCAAGTTCAAGCCCCAGTACCAAAACAAAAAAATGATGGAGGAAAGCCCAAGTTCATGGTTTTTGCCCAGAATTATAATAACTAAAAAGCAACTGTTTTAACAGCTCTATCTTCAACTTCAGAAATTTTCTTGACTGAACATCAAAATCCTAAAAAGCTATCATCAACATCTTAAAAAGCAATCATCATGGAATACTCTGCAATTTAAAAAAACCATTTTTAAATATTTGTGACACAATAAATTTTCACTGAGCACCTACTCTGTCAGAAACCGTGCTCAGAAATTCACGCTCCATCTTACTGAATCTTACAATAATCCTTAAGTATTATCACCATTTTACAGGTGAACAAAGTAAGGAAGGCTTATCTTTCTGGACACCCTAAGTTAGAGAGCAGTGAAAAAGTAACCTGGAATTGGAACCTTTCCAATCATCCATCCATGCATCCAAGAACCAGGAGACTGGCTCTTAAGTGCCTAGGCACTCATCTAGATGCTATAATGGTGACTACAAAACCTGAACCCTAAAGCATACTACATATGCTTTACAAATTTGATTTTTCACAATGAACAAAGACAGAGAAGTATTTCCAACTTGAGCCTGAAGTGAGATTCGGAGGTGTAACACCAGAGGAATGCACCGTGTATGGGTTTGGGGTTAGTAGTGCTGGATGAGGACAACAAGTTGTCTGGGTCAGTATTGGTCCTCAGACTCCTAATAAGGCTTTATGGAGAGAGAAGCTACAGGAAAAGACTTCAGTTGTTTTCAGGAAGGAGTCAACCTGGGTATATACACATGTGACACAAAATAACCAAAGTCAATGTCTCCACTTTTGAATGGAAAACAGCTTGAGGTGAGCAACATGAGAATGACAAGAAACGCAACAGTAATCTGCCAGGTTCTGATTTTGTAACTTGGACACCAGAGGATATACCCTAAGCAAGAATAGCAGCAAGAGTTAAAAAGTAAGAGACCCCTCCAAGTACCATCTCCAAGTACCATTATGAACACAGCAAATCAAACACGTAGGAACTGAGAAGACAAGTGTAAGAAGATGGATTTTCTGGGAAACAACTCAGGGATGTTGAGAAATCATATAAAATATTAAGGAGGATAGAAATCTTTTATCAAGAGGGGCTGAAAGCCAGTGACTAGTTATTGCAATTATTCTTTTGTATTCACAGAAGCATGAGACCTGGAAGTAAGAAAAAGTGAGAAGGGAATACCAGAATATTAACAAGTCTCTGGTGATATAATTTTAGGTGACTGTTACTACCTTTAAATTTTCTACATTTTTCAAAAATTGTCTACAGTGAACACTGTGATTTTATAATCAGAAAAAATGTATAGTTTTTAAAAACTCAGATATTAAATTCTAGTAATAAAAAATGCTCTAAGATTAAAAATCAAGCCAACAATACAATCTGTATTTCAGACTTACTACAGCGTAAGTGCTAGTCTTAGAATTGGGAGTATATTTTATTATAGTAAGCACATTTCAATCAAAATTATGAAAATTTACATTTCAAAAGATATTATACCCCTAAAATTTATTCTATTATATTTATAATATCATTTTCGTCACCTATATTTTAACATTCTGTTCCAAAGTAGAAAGCTGATATTCTTTGGCAGAATTGAGTCTTAGATTTTAGGTCTGGCAGACCTAGGCAAACAGTATCACTCAAGATTGTCAGTTCTGAGCTATATAATTAACCCAAACAATTTATAGTACTCATCCATTCTACATGGATGTAAGCTTATGCTAATTCTCACACTTCATACATTGACTTTTTTGGTTTTTGTTTTTTGAGGCAAAGTAGTCAGGTTCAGGCCAGCCTCTGGCTATCAACTCACTGGTACGTAGTCCAGGTTCGCCTTGAACTCAGTCCTCCTGCCCCCACCTCTCCTGTGGTGGGATTATGGGTGTTACACCATCACACCTAGCTAAAAGTTGATTTTCTAAAAATGATGAAAGTAATGAAGTCTGTAAGAGTTAAGATGCTCCCTTAGCCTGTCTTTAGAAATTCTTTTCTCAGGTAATATAGAAAAGCTCAAAATACCTTCAAACACAACTTTCAGGCTTGTTTAGTATTAAGCTTGCTTTTAAGCAAAAATAAAATTTGAACATAACCCCAAATTTACTTTAAAAATAAGTATTAAAAAATGGGTTTTGGATACCTACCCAAGACTTGACTTAACAGTATTTATGAAAAGCATTTTATTGGGAAAAGAAAGTTTAAATTCAGTCACATATTTCTAATGTGTAGTCACACTTACCTGGAGATTTGATGTCCAGCATAGAGAAGCAAGGCAGTCAAAAAATATAAATAAAGCTGAACCAGATGCTGCCTGGGCAAGGTGAGTAACACAACACTTAAGATATAACCTGCAGCAGAAATTAAGAAATATAAATTAAATATAATTCTAACTCAGTTTCTCAATTAACTATATCAGAAAGCGCTTGAAGTAGATTGTTTTGCATTTAGGCTTCAACTTCTGAGGTTTTTTTCATATCACTATCAAAGTTCATTCATGGCCTGGGGATTTAGCTCAGTGGCGCTGTGCCTGCCTTGTAAGCTCAAGGTTCTGAGTTCGATCCCCAGTAACAGCCCCCCTCCAAAAAAGTTTGTTGAGCACAGGAATATCATTATGGATTTTTTTGTTGTTCAACATGTTTTAGCATTTGGCACTTTTCATGTAGATTTTCGAACTCTGTACTCAAATACAGAGTACAAAGGTATAACATGACTCCTCTTATCATCTAGTTTTTCTCAACGACTTCTTGTTTTACACCAATTTTCTCTCTCTCTGGTGGCACAGGAAGAACTGGGTCTAAGACTGCCCCTTTTGATTTCAAGATCTTATTTCTCTAACTTCAGATTTTCTCTCTCCTAAATTTTCAAATCATCCCACTTAACACCAATTCCTGTTTGAAAGAATGTACAGGGCTCTTCCCCATCTTGGAAAAAACAAACACTTCTCTTCAGTGATTTCTTCTATTCTTAATTTTTTTCAAATTATCTGTATGCACTGCCTCTATTTTGTAACCATCTATTTCCTTCTCTGTCTTCCATAATCTACAAACTCCCTTTTCTCATATACTCTAAGGAAACCTGGAAGTCAAAAACAGCCTACTCATCAAATGTAACACACATCCTGCTTTCCCTTGGTGTTATGGTTTATATCTACATCTTCCCTGTGGCCTCATGGGCTCTGAGGCAGGGCTTGAGGAAGGTGATGAGACCCCGGGGGGGGGGGGGGCGTACAGCTAAACATGATGTTAGGAGGTAGGGCCTAGTCAGAAGAGGTGGGTCGCTGGGGCCGCTACCTGGTAGGTTGTTATCTTCTTCCCTTGTTCCTCTTCCCTTAGCACTGCTTCCCATCTACCATGAAATGGGCAGCTTTCCTCCACCTAGGCCCTTCCACAATGCTGCTGACTATGCAAGGACTGAAACTTCTAAAACATGAGCCACAATAAACCTCTCTTCCTTTAAGCTGTAGGGTCTGGTATTTTGTCCTGGTGGCGAGGAAGCTAAGACACTTAGTCTTACCAGCTAAGGCCAAAACCCTCCAAACCCCATTATTCTTCAGCTCTGTGACAGATTTCCTCTTACATTCTAATATCTCTGCTTTTCACTTTCTCTAAAGAACAAAGGAAATTTGGTCGCTAAACAACTGTTTTTTTCTCTATAAAGGATCTGACACAGAATTTATTTTACTGTTTTGAATACTGATATCATCCCATATATATGTTACAAATAGTTACAAAGCTCCTACAACAATCACAAAAACACGTCCTCATTTCTAAGTGGACATTCTGTACATCATGATGCCTTAGAGCCCATATTCTTCTATGGAACGAGTATAAACTGCGCCATTTCTTCTCCCTTAACAAGGTATCTCAACCTCTTTTACACTCTGAAATTCTGTTCACTCTGACTCAAAATTGGAGTTTTGAATGAGTATGGCTTACTATTCATTCTGCAGAGCTATCCATAACAAAGTTGATAATGATGAAACTAATGCAATAGTAATTTATAATTAAGAAGGCCAAAACATTTAAAAATGTAGACTTGCTTAAAGCAACACTGATGAATCTATTAATTTTTACTATTTAAATATAAGATAGTACTAGAGAAAAATGAGGCCCTGGATTAAAACAGCACCTTTAGGTAAGGAGTTGGTTGAGTCAGCTACAAAACACACTATTTAAATAGACTTTATTGTCGCTCACTGGATGAGTGGATGAGAACAAGGAAGTGAAAGTGGTTCTAATTTTTCTAGTCTGGGTAACCAAGAAACAGCTTTGCTATTAAGATGGGAAATGAAAGAGGATGATAAGGTCTGAGGTGGGGTAAAGGTGGTAAGTTCAGTGACTGAAGACAAGTGTTTACAGAAATGTCTAACATGTGGTTAGAAATTTGTCCATTATGGATCAGATACTAGCTAGGTGCTAGGAATACTGGGATAACAACCTCTCTCTGAACTTTAAACTCACAATCTAGCTGGGAAAGAGTTTAAGTATAGAGACCCTCAGAATGCAGCATAGTAAGAGCCATGACGGTGTCAACGAAGTACTATGGGTCAGAGGAAGAACTCCAACTCCAGGCTAGGTGGTCAAAAAGAAGTAGAAAGTGAAGACAGAGATTTGTAGCCAAAACTATGTGACATCAACCAAACCACCAAAGATGAAAACTGGACACAAATTCTGGGCACTATCAATACTTAACTCTAAAGGAAAAAAAAAACACTGAGAAAGAATGGTCAGAGTTAGAAGAATCAGAGCAAAGATTCAAGAAAGGAAAAGTAGTCAATGGCTTCATAAACGGTTTGAAAAAGCCTGCAGAATTAGGACACAAATGAGGTTTGAATTTTAGTAGAGCACTAATGATTTCAGTAATGGCAGTTTCAACAGAGTTTTTATATCCAAAGCAATAAAAAGAAAATATCTACACATGAACTTAACATGAACTTAACAACAAACGTCTAAAACCTATGTGGAGAAAACTTAAAAACACTCCAGGATGGAAGACAAATCTTGAACATAGGAAGGCTTTCTGTATTCCTACACAGAGAAGTGCATCTTTAAGCTATCACTTTGCCCTAACTTAAAATGTTAATAATAATGCAATCTCAATAAAATAACAGGTTTTTTTGTTTGGGGACTAAACTAGATAATTAAGTTCTATAGAAAACTAACAATAAAAACACTGAAGAGAAAATAAGGAAAATGAAGGGTCTAACTAGCATCTAATCTAAGTCTTCAATAAATAAAGCAGGGTGATAACAGTCCACAAACAGGCAGATAGATGAAAAGACCAGGAAAAATGTTTGGGATGGAACAAAATATCCTAGGAAGAGACTTCTAAATAGTTACTTAGAAAAAATAAAATAGCTCTTATTGGGCCGGGGATTTAGCTCAGTGGCACTGCACCTGCCTTGTAAGCACAAGGTCCCAAGTTTGATCCCCAGTACTAAAAAAAATAGCTGTCATCCACTGTATATGCAGATAAAATTCTAAATGAGACAAAAATGTAAGCATGAAATATGATAGCACAACAGTATCAGAACTTTTAGAATATATTTAGGAAATATTACATACTTTGACAGGTTACTCTAAACAACAAACAGTTCAAGCTGAAAATATCGGTTCATGCTACACAGGAAATACTACAAAGAATCAACAACTGGGACCTCATCTTATTAAAAAGCTTTTGCACAGCAAGAGAAACCATTAAGAGAGTGAAGAGACACCCCACAGGGTGGGAAAACATTTTTACCAGCTATTCATCAGACAAAGGACTACTATCTAGACTAAAGTACACAAAAACAATCAGACCCCCAAATTTAAAGACCCAATCCTTGGGCCAGGGATTTAGCTCATTGGTGCCATGCCTGCCTGGCAAGTGCAAGGTCCAGAGTTCAATTCCCCATATCAGAAAGAAAAAAAAAATTCACTCATTAAAGACCCAATCCAAATATGGGCATCTGAAATGAACAGATACTTCTCAAATGAGGAAGTCGAAATGGCAATTAAATATATGAAAAAATGTTTAACATCACTTGTCATTGGAGAATTGTAAATGAAAACACTGAGAGTCCATCTCAACCCAGAAAGAATGGCTGCTATCAAGAAATCAACCAATAACAGATGCTGGATGGGCTGTGAGGAAAAAGGAACCCTTCTCCACTGTTGGTGGGAGTGTAGTCTGGTGCAACCACTGTGGAAATCAGTATGGAGATTCCTTAAGAAACTAAACTTGAGGTTCCAATTTGACTCAGCTGTTCCCCTTCTTGGTATCTTCCCAAAAGAATTAAAAGCATCATACCACAGTGACATATGCACATCCATGTTTACAGTGGCACAGTTTTTAATAGCTAAATCTTAGAAACAGCCCAAATACCCTTCAACTGACAAATGGGTAGAGAAAATGTGTTTTTTTAATACAATGGAGTACTACTCTGCCATACAGAAAGACGAGCTTGAGACCTTTCTAGCTAAATGGATGCACCTTGAGACCATACTCTTAAGTGAAATAAATCAAATACATGTTTATAAATATCCAACTGTTTCGCTGGTGTGAGAAACAGAAAGTGGAAATAAGGCCTAAAGTGTATAATAGATATTGGGAAAGGGGAAGAAAATGTTCAAATAGGAAGGGGAATGAGGGAGGAGGGAGGTTAGAAAAAAAAGGAAGGGACAAGAAAAAAAAAAGAAAATGGGAAAAAATGGAAAGAAAGCTTTTGTACATAGGGAAGGGAGGGGGCTTTAGGGGAGAGAGGGATTGGGAAAAAAGAGGCGGAATGTATCATTTACAGGTGCAAATTTCCTACAATAAGTGTTATCACTATGTATGCCTAAAATGAACCAATAAATGTTTTCCTATTAAAAAAAAAATATTGGTTCATATAAACTAAGTTTTCTCTACCACATCATGTAATAAGAGTATTTAAGAAGGCTCAGTTGAATTCCCAAAGTTACAAGCCAGAGTATGAATTTCAACTGTATCAGAACCCATTCAACTTTTAAAATTAATGTTTCTGGTTATTAGGCAGCTGTTTTATAATAAATATTTTAATCTTTTCATGCATAATATATGATAAGCACATTTTAAAAACCACAGTGTGTATTACTTTGCTGATTAAGCTTAAAATCTATGCCAAGTACCCAATTGTTCTTCTATAACTGACTGGAATTACTTTCCATAAATTGGCTAAGATACAAAACCTTTAATAAAAGGCTGACAATTACAGTGTTTTGCACCATAAAGGAATCTTATTTCACCAACTTTCCTAAGGTAAGCCCACTGACAACAGACGAGTTCTGTTTCTAATACACTCTTCTTCCCATAGTGACTCACTTAGTTCTCTCTTAAAGGCATGGGGGTTTTGAGGGCTAAGATTTAGAACTCAAAAAGTCCTTCTGCAGATAAAAATAAATCTCATACAGGGAGAATAACCTTTCTCAATTTTATAAAACATACACAGTGTGATGAACAAATTCTAATAATAAAAATACTAATATAAAAACACTGTAATACCTCATTCAAACCATGTCCAGAGTTAGGCAACAGCAATGTCATTAAAAATATCAATTACCTACCAACTAAATATTCATTTAAATTAAGGATACTTTTTTTTTGGTACAGGGATTGAACTTGGGACCTTGCACTTGCAAGGCAGGCGCCAGAACCACTGAGCTAAATCCCCAGCCCAAGGATACTTTTTTTATAGATGAATATTATCTGTCCCATGCTTGTATTTCTTGACTTTAATTTCTTTAACCTTTCATCATCTCTTTTACCACAGCCTTCAAAGTACACCAATTATAATTTCAGATGTGTTTTTTTAAGGAAGAAAATAAACCGCAGTACCATTTCCTACATTTCATTTAATTGAAATGAATGCTTTATTTTCAACTGGTATGAACATTTTGTTTGTCTCAGGGAACAGTAGGGAATACTGCACTTTAAAAAAATCTTACTTTTTCCCACTACCAAACTTTAAGGACAATAAGAAGCAGCCAAATGCCTGGAAAAATACTTCTCAGTATTCACATTTCATCATATTAAAAGCTAAAATGTTATCTTCTGCATTCCAGTTATATCCAATAAAATACTGCCTACTATCCTCTAGCCTTAATAATTCATATGCAATGATAAGACAAAACTATAAACAAGATGCATATACACTCATTAATGACCACCAGTCACCTCTGTAAACAAAATTCATTTTACCCAAATTCAGAAATACCTAGATATAAACCATAATGTTCACAATATAATCAGAATAAGTGTGTAGATACTTACCTACATAATGCATATTAAGGGCCAAATACTTATACTGGAAAAGAGGGTTGTTATTGAGGCTACTTCTTTGAATCTGCTGGAAAAACGAGCTGACATCCCATCTGTACAGGACGTCCAACAGCATGATGCTGGGCACCCTCAGGGCCACATTTAACACCGCCTCCAGTTTTTCCTTTGCAGCCATTTTTTTGCTTTGTTTTTGTTTTTTCGTGGAACAGACCTAAAATTCAGAAAACACAGTATATTTTAAAAAGTCAAACTACTTTTAAATATCCTCTTATGTATCTAATGCATTGCCATATACCACACAAATACTAAAACTCCTTAGCTATATCTATTTTTAGGTATTTATGAAATAAGCCTTGTATTGTGTTTTTGCATTGACACTTTCAGGTCTGCCCATATTTATCACTCTGATTAAATGATCAGACCCCAAAACTTACTTTTTAAAAAGCCACTAACTTCAAATATAGCTACTTAGCAACAATACGCCATATAAGAATACTTTCAAATTTTGTCCAATTAAATATGAAAATCCAATTGTATATAAATGAGGCTTACATGGCTCCTAAAGAGAATAAATCTTAAATATTTGCTAAATAAAAACATCTATTCAAAAAGAGTTTTACAAATTCACATTTAGTTTGCAGTAATTTTATACTCTATTCTTCTCCTTATTCACTTATAATCAAAGCTGAAATATTACATTTACAATCCAGAGCACTCATAGTGAAGATACAGGTAGAAGAAACATTTACAATATTGTTTCCTTGAATTATTAAACTCTTAAATCTAAAATTCGCACAATCTAGCCAGGCACACCAGCTACTAGAAGGCTAAGGCAAGGGTATCAAAAGTTCGAGGCTGGCATGGGCCTTGAGACCCTGTCTCAAAGGGCTTGGGTTGCTCAATGGTTGAGTGCTTGCCTCGCATGTACAAGGCTCTGGGTTCAATCCTCAGTACCCATGGTTGCCCCCCCCCAGGAGAAAAATTCCCAAAATGTCTCTTCACAGTGGGAAAATAACACTGATCAAATTCTTCCCTTGGTATACAGACAGGCAGGAACACTGAAGTCAGGCACCAAATCTGCAAGGCCTTTCCTTAGATGGCGATAAGTTTTAACAGAAAGAAAGAAAAAGAAAAAAACCCCGCCGTTATCAGGATCTTAAAAGGACAATTAAATGCAACAGTGTCCTACATTGTAAAGCTGCAGATTAATCCAAGGAATTTTAAGAGTGCAGTGCAAACAAAAGTAAAGGACAATTTAAGAGTAAAGATAATTCTAGTTTGTTGGCTTTAACAATATCCTTTTAAGAATTCTGCTGAGAAAGCTAAACACATTTCCAGCTTTGGCAGTAATTTTAGACATTACAGGATAAATGAAAACATTTATTTCTGAAGAAAATTACAGTGACAGACTGCTATGCTATGGTTAAATATTTGCCAGTATTTTCCATCTTACCCTTCAATTTTCCTAACTTCCTAGGTCAGACAGTGAAAATTCAGAAACACCTCAACTGAGCACAACACTAATACAAGTTTTTTTATGATCATGTATCAATAATTTCCATAACCCAATGTGAGATGTGGGTATACAACTACCAATGACATATAATTAATATTTTATGGATGAAATCTGTAATTCTGATTACATTAAATGAACAAGGCCCAAGGCCTTTGAATAATTTTCCCACACATGAAAACAGTATTATGATTATCAAAACCAAATAACCATGCCCTAAGGGAAAAAAAAAAGAGGTGAAAAATCAAGTCTCTAACATTTATTGCAAACTACACCATTCAGAAAACTGAACTAATTTCTGTAAACTCTTGAGGTTATAGTCAACCCTTCATCGCTACAGGTTTTGCATCTGTGGACTGAAGCAACCTCAGTTCAAAAATATCAGGGAAAAGAAATCATGTCTGTACTGAACATGCACAAACATTTTTTTTTTTTTTGCTTACAGACTTTTTTTTTTTTTTTTTACATTATTTGCTCAACAATATAGCATACTATTTACACAGCACTTACACTGACTGCATTGGGTATTGTAAGTTATCTGGAGATGATTTAAAACATACAGATGGGCAGAGATTATATACCGCTTATATACAAGATTTGAGCTTCCACCGATTTTGCTAAGGAGGCTTCTAGGACCAAACTATATTTAAAAAGAAAAACTATTAAAAAAAAAAGAACTATTGGGAGAAAATACACTAAAAGAATCCCAGGAATATTCTTTTATACAGCAGGTCTAGGGCTGATCCCTTTTTCTGTTTGTCAAGTTTTTTAAGACTATCCATGTATCCTTTTATCATAGGGGCAGAATTAACAAAGAAATTACTGATGAAAAGTATAATGTACCTACGCCACTGAAATGACTTCAGAAAATACTATTTACTTTGGTGGTCAATTTCTTTTAAAGTATATGAGTAATTATTCTCACAATCCACAAGACACATATGGAAATGGCCATGTATTGAGATGACAGTATACCTGACAGTCTTTATATTGTAATGGGAAAGTATTTTTTCCATATCCCAGATCTAATATAAATCATTTCTTGTTTTGTAACAAAAAGGCAAGGGGGAGCGACTGCTAAGTTAAAACTTATGTTCTGTATTTATTTCATCTGACTCTGAGCCTTCCTCTTGCATTTGTTTTGTTATTTTAAAATATACCCACTTTCACCATTTATTGTAGCTCTTAAAGGGGTGAAGAAATCTAAATCTGCTAGGGGAAAAAAAAAAAAATCTCCCTAATCCATACAGAGGATCTACTACAAAAGAAGTCCATTAGCAGAATGGTACATGTTCTCTCATTTTCCAACCAAAACCTTACAAATATAACAAAAGGCAAACCTCACAAACACACCAAAAAGCAAAACAAAATAAAACCTCCCTAAAGCTCTGCCAATACAGAATATCCAAGAAGCAACAGAGATCTCCAAACTCTGTAGCACAATCAACTCAAGACTCGAATGTACCTAAGAAGGATGACACCAGATAAAATTATACCGTCTAATGACAAATTTATTACTCAAGATTTATTGCTGTACCTGAATGATATTTTAACAAGTCATTGTCAGCTGGCCACGTGTAAGGACATGGAGAAAACATTTAATACAGTACATGGAAAATCAGATAGGAAAAAACTCGTATTTTTCAAAAACCTTGTAATCTTGAACCTTTCTAAAGTACAAGTATACATGATAGGTGGTAACCATCACAAATAAATACTGCATACTAACTGGCACCAGACACTAAAACCAACACAAACAAAATTCTGAAATACTTATCTTGATTAGATACTGTACCTGAAATCACTCACCTGTCAAATTACTGTATTACCCTACAAAGTAAAAACAAAGCCTTCTTTGCTGACATAGACAGATACACCTCCATAACATTTGTTTCAAGCCCAACTTACTTTTTCCCTACATGTACTGTCAGGCTGGTGAGCATATCAGAAAGTTGAAGGGAGATCAAAATTCTCTTAAAACCAAAATAATACCAAATAATCCTAGAAAATATGGAGAGCTGAAAGCAAAGAAAATTTATAAAAGTCTGACACACCTAAAGCCAAACATACAAATTTTGTGCAGTTTTACCTTCTATGTAAGATTTTAAAATTTTCTTCTTGAACTGCAAAAAGAACTGGGATGTAATACTCCAACATGACATCTCTGTAAGTCATAAGCTAAATGTGACTGTAGTTCAAAGATGCTTTACACAGTAAAAACAGCTTAAAAAATAAAAAGACTTTTCTTTCCAAAATCAGAATCTACCAGGAAAGGTTCAATAAATGCTAACAATTTCAAGAAATGACTTTCCCAGGCTTGGAAACAGCAATCAGTACTTACAAACACAGTAACATCTAGTATAAGCATGTATAATGTGCAGAGTTTACTGTTCAGATGTGTAGGTTGGGAAACACAGGGGGCCTCGTTCTACCCTTTCCTGAAAATACAGTACTTTGGTTTTCAATATGAAAAAACCAAACAGGGCTGGGGATTTAGCTCAGTGGCACCGTACCTGCCTGGCAGGCGCAAAGTCCTGAGTTCGATCCCCAGTACCAAAAACAAAGCAAACAAACCATCCTAATAAAAATGTTTTCAAAGACACAGTGGGTCTCTGCTGGAAAACTTAAAGCAGAAAGAGAACTGGAAAATATGATTTATTTTACACCGCCAAAAAAGGTCCTCACATCTCCATCTCCTACACTTCCCTCTAAAAAGACAAAGTAAAAATGACATGTGACAATGTAAAACTGGTAATTAAGATAATTAGATAATTGGTGATAATAGATAATTTAGGACTGAACGTTCTACACTCTTTTCTCCCCAATATAAGAAAACCAAAAATCACTATTCATCATTAACCTTTCTTTGTCCCAACCAATTTTAAAAAAAAATTCTACCGTCAGCAACAACTGATCTTAAAAGATCTTTCTGGCTCTCCATTTGTTAGAATGGTAAGACCTTAAAATGAAAAAGGGCAAAACCAGAGCCTAAAATCGTAAGTAAACTCAGCCCAGAAATGAGATACAACGAAAAAGAACGCACTTCTTACATAAGCACTGGGACCTGTTTTAAACATAGCTGGTCCTCCCCATTCCCACACGTACCAGCTAACTTTGTATATATCTGATTTTCACATGAACTACTAGCAATTCTGATTTCTTATCTCCAAAACGGCAAAAATACGAGTCTACTCTGAAATAAAAGGGCTGTCTCTCAATTTAAAGAGCAGACGGAGGAAATGAAAAGAGCTACCTCTGCCATTGGGCGCTCAGCCCGGGTCACGACTGCAGCACGGACAGCTCATCCTTTTGGACAGGATTCCAGACTCAGAAATGCATACTCCGTATTTTAAAAAACAAAAAACCACAAAGTCCTCTCCTCTCCAACTAGTTTTCTGTTTACTGCAGACTGCGATGCAAAGACATACATTAATCTTTGATTGCTTTCTCACTGCAAAGGCCCCTTTCTCTCCGGCTGCACCTCCTCCCCCACGCCCTGATCTCAGCCGCGTTTGAACTATAGTAACCCCAAGCCAGCTCGCGCACGCCGGCAGCACAGCAGCAACAGCAACAGCAACGTGTCCGCAGCCGCCCCGGGGCTCAGGAATTACGTTCCGCAAAAACTCTGCCAGGAGAAGCAGGCCCGGGAGCTTCCCTCTCATCTCTCCAAGGGTGCTGGCTCGGCTGTGCCACACACCAAAAGGCTTGCAAAAAAAGAGATGCCAGCAAAGTTCACAATCCCTGAAAAGAATGGGGGCTACTTCCAGCAGGGAGGGCGGGGGTCTCAGAGTCCCCGGATGGAGAAAGTAGACCTGGAGGGGGAGAATCGCGGGATCACCAGAGGGAGAGGAAACTGCAGGCACAAAAAGGATGAGCAGCCTACTTATGGCTAAAAAAGGGCTGACAGAGGGGATGCGGAGCAAGGGATTGCCACTCGAAGGGTTTGCCAGGCCTTTCTGCGCTCTCAAACCTTACAGCGCTTGGAAGGAGTAGGGCTGCGTAGACCAAAGGGGAAGGCGACGGGGACTAGCGAAAGGAGGCAAAGTGGACAAAGAGGCGAAAAGGTAAAAGTTGCAAATGGCGACTGGGAAAGGGGCAACTCGGGAAGGGACTTAGACAAGGCCTTGAAATGGGGTGCAGGAGAGGCACGAGAGGAGCCCGAGTTTGGGCAGCTCAGGAACGCCAGGGTCTCTCCAGGCGCGGGAGGGCGCGGAGGCCCCGGGGCTGGAGGAGCGGGCTCCCGGGCCCGGGAGGCTGGGCAGAGTCGGAGGGGCCCGGGGAGCGCGCGAGGAGCTGAGGAACAGAGGGCAGGGGTGCTGGTGAGGAGCGGAAGTGGGCTCGGCCGAGGATGGGAGGGAGAGGAGGGAGGTGGGCTAGGGAGGGGGCGGGGAAAGAGGAAGGAGCTGGGGCCGGATGGGGGAGGGGAGGGACGACGCGGGAAGCCGGCGGGGACCTGGGGGTGGCGTGAGGAAGGCTGCGCGGCGCGGTCACCTCGGGCTGCAGCCTCCCTCCCCGCGGGCCGGCAGACGGGCTCTGCAGCAACCGGCTCTCTCGCCCGCCCTCCTGTTCTCGGGTGGCGGCGACGGGGGCCGGGACTGCGCGGCTCGCTCACAGCGGCGGCTCTTCTGCTCTGGGCCTTGGTTGCTGCGTCTTGGGCGGTGGAGGCGGCGGCGGCGGCAGCGGTCCGACCCTTGCGGTCACCATCGTCCGCGGCAGCAGGCGCCCCCGGGCCGAGCCCCTCAGCAGCCGGCGGCGGCGGCGGCCATGGCCTCCAGCTCGCTGCTCCCGCCCCCGGCGTTCTGCGGCGGCCAGCCCGGCTCCCGAGTTCTGCGCCTGCGCCTGCGCGTGCCCCGCCGGCGCGCGCCCCGCCCCCCCGCGCCCACGCTCACTCACAATCGCGCACGCGGGGTGCTTCCTGCGCCGCCCCCGGTACGTGGGCGGGAGACACGAACCTCTCCTGGCGCACACGGCAGGCTGGGGCCGCTATGAAGACGCACACCACGCCGACACCTGTACTCGCACTGTGACACGCGCCATTCTGACACGTGCTCTTGCACACTTCCCAAACACCAGGACCCGCACGGGCTCTCCCCCACACTCACCTGCGGAGACCACGTGGGAGACTGTGCAGGGCTGATCCCGTCAGGGTGCAATCGCAGTAGCAGTGATGTATGCGAAAAAATTTAACTCCTTCGCTGTGTGGACAAGACTGCGCACTGCAAGGCGTCGGACACGTCCGCTAGGGCTCAGCAATGCCAAGCACCGAATGGTTTGGTTCAAAGAATTTCATTATAGTATGAAGTTGAACTGTGTTTATTTTTCTTTGGGGGGCTAAGTAAGGTTTAAAACAGAGATTAGTGTACACATCCTGTCCCCAGTATCGAATTCTTCCCATTTGTTCTGTGCCAGTCTCTAACATTAATGCACATTCCTGCCTTAATTTAAATGTCATGTTTTAAGGCAAGAAGCAGTTCCGCAACAGTCTCAACTGTTCGGAGTGTACACAGAAGAAACCAAGGATGTCATGGTTCCTGGGCCCTGGCAGGACTTCTCATTCACACGTTATGATCTATTGCCCTTTGTCACTACCTCCTTCCACAATCCCTCTCTGCTGTTCTTGCTCTTTGGTTAGTCCCTGTAGAGCCAGTACAGTGGCTACTGGAAGCTAGTGTGGCCTTCGATGGTGAGTGTACCTGTGTAAAGGGAAGAGGAGCACAAAGTAATGGGTAAGGTGTTGCAATTATAGTGCATCATTCTAAACTTCCAATGCCCCAATTTATGCATGCACAAGAGAAATTAATGTACCCTGTTTTGAAATGTGAGAAAGTCCAGTTGCTGTCCTCTGCGTTTTAACTGTCAGCCATCCACCTCCCCCAGTTCTGAAAATTTAGTGTCTCCACAGAACTAAAAGCAAGCTCATCATTTACAAAATGGAATCCCTGGAGGCATCAGTCAACCAAATTCAGAGTGATTTGCCTTCCGCAAGCTTGATAGAAGACTTGGAGAGTCAAGTTTTTTAAATTTCTGGTAATTGTGTCCCTAACTCCTTAAAACAAGCCACCTTTCATCCAGGTGCCTCAGACCACTTTAGAAAATCTCTAAACTCGCCACATCCCAGGGAGGCAGTTTTACGAGTCTCTTTGTATGGTCTAGTAAGTGAGAAATTACAGAGGCCTCATGACTAATGACTGGAATTTGAAGCTGCCCAGAATACCAGGGCCTTCTCTTTGGTTCCTTACCTGCTTAACAGTTCTGCTACCAGCTCAATCAAGAAAACAAGCCAAAAACATTACAAAATTAAGACATACATAACACTAAATTCTAATTGGATTTGCTTATTCTTCTTGGATAAACTACAAAGTCTTGAAAATACTACTTTATGTTCTGTTTAAAACCCTACCTCAGTTCTTGCCTCTCCTTTTTTAAAGGGGTAAGAAAATGGCTTCAAAGCTATATTACCATCGCTGTAAGTCCTCTGGACTTGTAAAGGTGGGAAAACGTATAGGACTTTTTAACTTTGAATTTTACAGCAGCTGTCTGTAATGCTGAGGTCCAAAACAACATATAAAGAAAGTTATTCTGGTAATGAAAGGGTTACTGTTATTATATTGCTACTAATCCAGTTTGGGGAAAGCCAGAAACAGGTAATCAAAGTGAACTCAGAAGAAGCCAAGGAAAAAAAGAATTGGGGGGTGGGGGTTGGAGGGAAGGCAGCTCAAGAATGGAAGGCAGCCCCAAAGTAGAGAAAGTACTTCCTGAACGCACCTAAGCTCACCCAAATCAGGAAAAACCAGGAACTAAGCTTACCGTAAATGCCTGGAACAAACTCAAGGAAATGCCCAAATGCTACAGATTGACCAAGAAGGGGCTGGCCTTATGTGCTAGAAGGAAAGTAATGTTTATGACTGGGAAATGGCAGAGCATGAAGATTCTAAAGGTCACCTTCTTTTCTTCACGTGTCCAACTTTAAGCAGGAATTCAGCATAAAGTTTAATGCAGTGCCTGTTACAGTTCTAGCCATTCCAAAAGACTTGCTCTTGAATTCCTTATGAATCAACTATTGCTAATAAATCACACAGAAATAGCCTTTTGTTTCAAATGTGCAGATGATTGATGTCCGGTTCAGTATATAATGGGTTCTAGATCCAGAGACAGGATCTCACTGAACAGATTTCACATGATAAAGCCAAAATGCAAAGACTGTGGATAGCGTATGTTGGGATTATATCTATCCATTTTTTAAAAGTACGTATTCAACAATATCCAATTCAGTATTCAACTGTCTAGGTTGAATTGAAAATTCTGTTCAACCTGGCTACCTCCACAGTTTGATTTGGGAAGCCAGTTCTACAAGGAAAACTCTGGTTTTGTTAGGCAGCTTAGTGCATTAAGGAGAGACTCCCTTTTTTTCTTAGATATGTAACTACTTAGCTCACGTACCATACAATCCCCCTATTCTAACCTGCCCAATTCAGTAGTGTTTAGTATGTTCATTGAATTGTATGACTGTCATCACAATGAATTTTTGAACAGTTCATCATAACCTCCTCCCCCAGGGGAAAAATTAATGTACACATTAGCAGACACTCTTTCTCTCCCCACTTAGCCCTAAGCAACCACTAATTCTTCTTCTGTCTTCATAGATTTGCCTGTCCAGGACATTGCACATAAATGGAATCATACAGTATATAGTCTTGTGCCTGGCTAGTTTTACTTAGAATAATGTTTTTGAGGTCTATCCACGTGTAGTATGTACTGGCACTTAATTTATTTTCCTTACCAAATAAAATTTTATTGAATGGATATTCCACATTTTCATCAAGTGGTGGATATTTTGGATTTTGCACTTTGAGGCTTTTATAAATAATGCTGCAGTGAACATGTACATGTAAACTTTTGTGTGGACAAATGTTTTCATTTGTCTTGGGCATATACTTATCAGAATTGCTAGGATATATGCTAACCCTACATTTAACTTTTGAAGACCTGTCACCCTGTTTTCCAAAATGACTGGTCTGATTTACATTCCCACCAGCAGTATGGGAGGAAGGGTTCCCTCAATTTCAGATGGCTTCTACCCATTCACTGTGGGGCTCTATGCTAAATGTGCATAACTTACAAACAACTCCATTTGCCATCTATAAAACAAGAAAAAACATCATACCTACTTCAGAGTTGTTATGAAAAATAACTGAAGCCACCTGCCTCGCAAGCACATGGACCCGAGTTCGATCCCCAGTACCAAAAATAAATAAATAAATAACTAAAGTGAGACATGCTAATATTTCTGCTACAAAGTAAGCCCTCAATAAATGGTCCTAGTCCTTCTCCTGTCTTTTATATTTAGTTGATATTTATTCCATAATAAAGTCAGATAAGGATGAAATTATAGCACCCTATTAACAATAAGAGATGTTACACATAGCAGATGCTGAATATTTTTTATAGATAATTGGAAAAGCAATTTTTTGATCTTTCAAATTTTCCTGAAAACATGTTGTTTTCCCATTTTGTTTACAGAAGAATTAAAAGAATATTATAAGGACCACACATATATACACCATCTAGACTCAACAATTGTTAATGTTTTTTGTATTTGCTTTATCTATATGGGTATGTGTTGCTAAACTGTTTGAAAATAGGCAGTATATGTCAACACACTCCACCTGTAAGTACTCCGGCTTTCTTCTAAAAATAAGAGCTTGGCCGGGAATTTAGCTCAGTGGTTTTGCCCCCTGCTCCGCAAGCACAAGGACCCGAGTTCGATCCCCGGTACCAAAAAAGTAAATAAATAAATAAATAAATAAATAATAAAAATAAGAGCTTATGCCAGACTTGGCGTTGGATGCCTGTAATCCTCACATTCTGGGAGGCTGAGGCAGGAAGCTCAAGGATTTGAACCTAGCCTGGGCAACTTAGGGAGACCTGTCTCAAAAAAATAAATAAAATAAAATTTTAAAAGGTTGAGTATATAGCTCAGCATGAAAGCCCTGGCTCTCTCTCCAATACCAAAAAAAAAAAAAAGCTTTCTCCAGTATTACCAGTTATCAGATTATCATTACCTCACCTAAGAAAATGAAGCATTCCTTAAATTCCTTCTGCTCTCTGTATAACTCAAAAATGTCACTTACAGATAGCTTTTGCTTCCAGTGAAGAGACAATCAAGTTTTACTTATTGCCTTGGCTCTTAGGATGGATAAGACAGTTTTGCTTTTTTTTTTTGAATTCCAAACTCTATTGTGTGGCTACAAAGTATGCAGATTGGTTTTGTGAGTCTAGACTTGGCATGAAAGACATGTTGTCCATTCCCTGGGCTCTTCAGTGTTTTTGTTGGTTTCACAGTGCTAGGGTCTGCATCCTTTATCTTACACGATGAGTTTTTGGAAATCAAAAAGTTCCACTGGTTTCAGCCACTCTGATAGAAGAGGCAGACAGGAGGGAAGACATCTCAGTGACAAATGGTATGGATCAGTGACTGAGGACCAGACAGGATGTTGGGCATCTCAGAAGATTCCTTTCTTTCTTTTCTCCATTTATTCTTTTTCTCTCCTTTCTTTTTCTTGTTTTTTTCCTTTGGTGGCATCTTTATAACTGGCAGGCCTAGTATCTTCAGGACTTTTTTGTGTGGACTTGTCATCCATGTCTATAGAACCTGCCTGCCATGTTGGAAGCCGCAGGAAAACAACTGTTCTGGCCTGGCCTCAC